TCCTGAGGATTCTATGGTGTAGTGGAGGGGAGAGGGGCACAGAAGGAGGCGATCACGCTGTGGTAAGAGCTATAGAAGCCTCTCGGAAGAGCTGGGAGGGTAGAGTAAGTGACAGACTGTTTAGGACTGCCTCCCATCCTTTTTGAAAGAACAAAGGTGGGTGAGAAAAGGATTCAGAACAGAGTACATCCTCCCCTGGGGGAATCTGGATAATCCTTTGAGGGATAATGGAGCCAAATCTTTAAGGATGTACAGAAGTCGGCCGGATGCAAAACATCCAGAAAGATGTCTCAGAGAAAGAATGATCTTGGCAAGAGGGAGAGCAGTGAGCAGGCCTAGCAAGCGAGAGGTGTGCCATGAGCAGCCCTGCTGAAGGGGAAGGCCAAGCCTGGTGACCCAAGGACCAGGGAGACCGTGGACAGCCAGCCAGCTCACTTGTATTGAGTATCTTCTGTATTGTTTTGCCGGCATGAAAACTGAGGCTCAGAATCACACTAGCTTGCCCAAGTTGTACAGGAAGTGATGGGCCACAAGTCCGTCTCAAGTCTGTCTGGCTCCCGGTCCTTTGCTCCTTTTCTCGCATGGTGCAGCTGAGGAGTATGGACCTCACTCTATAGGTTGGGACAGAGACAGTAGGGGAGTTCAAGAACTTCGAGAGACTCATCCATGGGCTCTGTACCTTGGAGTGAAGCTAATGAGACCTTTTTTTAGTGGTAAAGGCCTTTTGGCAAATAAAATCCTAACCCCAAACTCTAGTATATAAGAACAGATCAGGTTGTATTTCATTAGCTTAAATTTCTTTCATATTTAAATGCATAACTTACAAGATCAACTCGTGAAAGCAGTGGTTTTCTTTTTTTTTTTTTTAAGATGTTAATTTATTCATTTGACAGAGAGATCACAAGTAGGCAGAGAGGCAAGCAGAGAGAGAGAGAGAGGGAAGCAGGCTCCCTGTTGAGCAGAGAGCCCGATGCGGGGCTCGATCCCAAGACCCTGAGATCATGACCTAGGCCAAAGGCGGAGGCTTAACCCACTGAGCCACCCAGGCACACCAGTGGTTTTCTTTTTAATAAGCTCTTTCGTTTTGGAATCATTTTAGACTTAAAATAAAAGTTGCAAAGACAGTACAAAGAGGTCCCAATACCCTACACCCAGTTCCCTCAGTGTTAACATCTTACAGCACCTAGGACATTTGTCTTAAATAAGAAGCTGATATAGGAACGTAACCATTAACTACAATCTATACCTTATTTGGATTTCACCAGCTTTTCCACTAATGTCCTCTTTCAGGATTCAGTCCAGGAAACCACACTGCATTTAGTTGCAGCGACTTTCTTTTGCCAAATACTTAAATACGAAGCCAGGAGTTCTATTACATTCCCATACACTCAGCTTTGTGACTCACAATTAGATAGTTCCTTGAACACTTGGAAGAAACTCTAGCTAGATGTAAAGAGGTATGAAGTTCTGGCTACAAGCATGCAGGGTGAGTAGCCTACTACCAAAATATAATTGGGATAATTATCAGCTAATGCAGCCCAGTGAAGAATCCAAGAATGCATACCGCACAGATTTGATTTAGTCTGTCTTAGCTTGGGCTGTCACAGAGTATGCTAGACACTAGGCAGCGTCAACAACAATACTTATTTTTTCCACAGTTCTAGAGGATAGAGGCCATGGATGAAGGTCCCAGCCATTTCAGTTCCTAGTGAGGACTTTCTTCCCATGTCCTCCCATGGCCTTTTTTTCTGTGTCTGTGCAGGACAGGGAGAGGGGAGTTACCTCTCTCTTTTGGATCAGAGCCCCATCCTTATGACCTCATTTAACTCTAATTACCTCCTAAAGACCCTGCCTCCAATGCAATGACATTGAGGGTTAGGGCTCCCCCCAAAGAAATTTGGGAGGAGGAGAGACAATTCAATCCATACGTATTATTTGTAAAACACTTGATACTTACAAGACAATATTAAATACATAGCTCATACTTTAACACTCATTATTATATAAGTTGAAGAAGATGTATTATCATCTGAACAGATGGTCCCAAAGCAATGGTAAGAAAAAAATGTCAAAAGTGGTCATGTTATAAAAGCTGTTAGCCAAAGTTTTCAGGTGGTCATTGGATTTTAAACAGGTACTAGGAAGAAATCCCACATCCTTCAGAATAATGCCGAGTAATGCCATACAGTTACTAATTATTTGTTATTGGTTTGGGCTATGAGTTCTAGAAGTTACTTTTCCATGTGAAATGTTAGTTACTGTATTGAAACGGTACAGGTACCTTCACACAGAGTAAGAAACCACTAGGATTTATTTTGCTTTTGCTGATAAACGACTGGATAACTTTACCTCAACCAGTACTGAGTTCTCTCTCTTGCCTACTGCCTCTCAGTTACTTAAGGCAGGGTCAAGCGTGAGCTGCGTTACCTGTACTGGATACTGCGAGTCGAGGAGTCCGCAGCCAGTGTGTTGAGTAAAGGGCTATTATTGTGGCTGTTTCTAGTTTGGGGACAGGGTGAATGATAATACTGTTAATCAAGAAGAGTGGAAGAATGAATAGATTTAAAGGGAAGAGTGAGTCTGAGGTGTTTTCAGGACACGCAGGGAGATACATGGTCTTCATCTCAGGAACTTCAGGGAAAACAGGTAGCATTCTGGGATAGCTTTGAAGTCATCATTTGAAAGTAAGTTGGAGAGAATTTTTTTTTTTTTAATGAAAGAAGATACACCACTGGATCAGCGTATTAGGGACTAGAAAGATCAATAAGGAGAAGAAATAATTTAGGTTTAAAAAACTGCAGTAGGGGGGTGCCTGGATGGCTCAGTGATTAAGCGTCTGCCTTTGGCTTAGGTCATGGTCCCAAGGTCCTGGGTTAGAGCCTCGCATCAGGCTCCCTGCTCGGCGGGAATCCTGCTTCTCCCTCTCCCACTCCCCCTGCTTGTGTTCCCTCTTTCTCTGTGTTTCTCCCTGTCAAATAAATAAGATCTTTAAAAAGAAAAAAAAAAAAAACACTGCAGTTGAGTGACTAGTCGACCACAGTGTTTCTCTAGGAAACGTGTGATATTTTATTGGAGTAGCCTGTTAATGTCCCAACAAGCAATTTGGTCAGTTGTGATATTTTCAATCACTAAAGTGTTGAAGCTGTAATTTTACCACAGTAAAATGCCATCATGAGTTTACATTCGCCCCTTGGGTTCTTTTATCTGTCCCAACTTTATTGGCAGATCATTGACAAAATGTAATTGTATATATTGCAGGTGTACAATGTGATGATTTGAGACACATGTACATTGTGAAATGATTGCCAACAGGAAGATAGTGAACACATCCATCACCTCACACAGTTAGCTCTTCTGTTTGTGCATGGTGAGAGTGCTTAAGATTCACTGTCAGCAAATTTCACGTGTGCACCCCCCATTATTAGCCGCCGTCACTGTGCTGTACCTGAGATTCTCAGGACTGATTCATCTTATAACTTAAACTATGTGCCATTTGACCTCCATCTCCCCATTTTTCCTCCCCCTGGCCACTTATCATGTAAGTGATACCATGCAGCATTTGAGTTCCTGTGTCTGGCTTATTTCACTTAGTGTAATGCCCTCCCATGTTCATCCCTATTGTCACAAAGGGCAGAATTTCCTTCCTTTTTATGGATGATCATATTCCATAGTATATATGTGTATATACACATTTTCTTTATCCATTCATCTGCCAACAGATCTGTAGGTTGTTTCCATGTCTTGCTCTGATGGGTAATGCTACAGGGAACATGAGAGCACATATATGCCTTCAAAGTACTGATTCCATTTCCTTGGAATATATATACCCAGAAATGGGATTGCTGGGTCAAACAGTAGTTCTATTTTTCATTTTTTGAGGGACTGCTATACTATTTTCCATTATGGCTACACTGATTTACAGTCCTCCCAACAATGTCCAAGTGTTCTCTTTTCTCCACATCCTTTTTATTTCTTATCTTTTTGGTAATAGACATTGTAACAGATGTGAGATGATTTTGAAACTAAGAAAGCAATCCCACTTGTAACAGTACCCCAAACAATAAAATATTTAGAAATACATTTAACCAAGGGGGTGAAAGACCCGTACACTGAAAACTATAAGACACTGATGAAAGAAATGGACAAAGGCACAAATAAGTATGAAGATAGACACCAATCTTGGATTACAAGAATTAATGTGGTTAAGATGCCCATACTACTCAAAGTTAGCTCCAGATTCAATGTAATCTCTATAAAAATTCCAGTAGCATTTTTCACAAAAATAGAAAAAGCTATCCTAAAATTCATACAGAACTACAAAAGTTAGCCCTGACCAGCTAAAGCTTTCTTGAGACCAAAGACAAAACTGGAGGCACCACACTTCTGATTTCAAACTACATTACAAAGCTATAATAATCAAAGCAGTATGGTACTAACATGAAAACAGACACACAGACCAACAGAACAGAATACACAGCTTGAAATAACTCCATGTGTATATGGTCAACTAATCTTCGATGGTTTCTTCAATAAATGGCATTGGTAAAACTGACAGCCACATGCAAAGAATGAAACTGGACTCCTGTCTTACACCACACACACAAATTAGCTCGAATTAAAGACTTAAATATAAGACAGTGGGTTCTTAAGTATATAGTTCAACTGGAACAGTTGCACCCAAAAGTACAAGTCATTCAACTCCAGAGCTTTGGTTTTAGTATATAGTAAAAAGTTGTTGTTTTTCATTGCTATAATGTACTTACTTTTTCCCTGTTACCAATTCTTCTCACCTTTCCAGTTCACGTTCCCACTTCTCTAGAGGCTCATGGAAAAAGTACCAGATGGCCTGGTCTTTTCGCAGTCTTTGGGAGGAAAGCTGCCTCCATCTTGAGCTTGTTCCAGAAGCTCAAGGTGTTCACCAAAACTCTGCCCTCAGGGCTGCTCCTAAGCCTATGGTAAAATTGCAGGAAAGTGCTCACAGGCCTGTTCTCTGTTTGCAGGTGGTCCCCATGCTTCCCAGACTGCTGTGCGAGGAGCTGTGCAGCCTCCATCCCATGACCGACAAGCTGACCTTCTCCGTGATCTGGACACTAACCCCAGAGGGCAAGGTAACAACTTACACACGCGACCATTTCGTTCAGTGAGTCCCTGTTAATCACCCTCGGGGTGCCTGGGGCTGAGCTGGAATCCCCTGGTGGGAGGACAAGGGCACTGTAGGGACCACTGTAGCCGCCACAGGGGAGAACAGAAAAGAGCCCCCTGCCCCTGAAGAGCCGTCAGTCCACTTAGAAGGCCAGACTGACCCTAAGCAATTAGAAACAAGTTACTTGTTTTTTATCTTTTCTCAGAGGAGGGAAGAAATTCTGTCAGCAAGGTCAAGTGGGGAGGCTTAGGGCAGGAGATAATATGGACATGAAGGCAAATGTGGCTTGGCCGTGAAAGGGGGAACATCCTGCGAGGACATTTGGGGAAAGGGTTGTGAGTTTGGATAGGTGGGGTGAAATCAAACTATTAGGAGCCTCAAATGCCAGTCACAGATGAATTCTGAATGTTAGCATCCCTCTGAAGTGTCACGAGAAAGGTGCCATTGTAGGAAGGTGAGTGCTCCAGTGTTGTGCGGGTGACCCAGTAGTTTGAAGATGAATTAAAAAAAAAAAAAAGATGAATTAAATCGACAGGAGGTAATGCTATCATCAAGGCCAGCGGTGATGAAACCGTGGATCAAGAACAGAAAGGAGAGGAATGTCAGCAGGCACTCCCTAAAGATAGGGTCGAAGTTAGACAGATAAATGGAAGATAGCTCCAGGAAAAAAAAAAAAGAAAACCAGTTTCCTCCCCCACAAACAGAAACAACCCTAAACATCCAAAAAAAAAAAAGGCAACAATGAAGTAAGATGTGGCATTCAGTGGAATGCGACACAGTTAGTAAAGCTGTGACAGAGACCACGTGGGAGCATAGGAAATGTTTATGCTGTGATATTAAGTAGAAGTAAAAAGAAGATATTGAATTATAAAGACGTTCCAAATAAAGATGGAGGATCAAATACCCACATTCACTTTCATTCCCTCCCAAAACCTCACTAAAACAACAGTGAAGAGTTGTTTTTTTTTAAGACATAAACCCACAAGGACAAAGAGAATGGGAGAGCAGACAACAGCAACAAAATTTTGGAAGCTGGAAGCAGATGGATGAGTAGTAACTGACTTAGCAGTCCCCAGAAAGCTGAATCCTGAGCCAACGATGGGGAAGGCCAAGAAACAACCCAACTTGACATAGCAGAACCCTAAAGAAATTCAGAAATCGGTGGCACCACATAACTCCACAAAGTAGAGGAGAGGTGGGTGAAGAGGAAACTGACCGTACTGCTTGAAAATTTTAGAAAGATCGCCCCTGCCATAAGTTGGAAGAAGACCAGAAATGTATCCTCTGGATGGGATAAAGCAAAGGAATTCTAAACTAGAGGACACCAAGCACACCTGATGGCCATGGTCCCTTGGGAGAGGTCGAGTGAATGCTGGCATCCTGAATGTTTAAAATCTTAGCTTTCTTTTCCAACCAAGCCCAGAATTCTGGTTGTCAAGCCTTATACCCTTGAGTCAGGAGATAGGAAACTTTTTTTTTTTTTCTTTTTGAGGAATCTGAGTGTGATGAAGATTTAGAGATAAGAACCTCGGGGGCTTCCTCACCGGCAGCCCAGCTGTGTCTCCCTGCAGAAAAGCCCAGAGGCAGAAAGCTCCACCAACACAAGTAGCACTTTTTAGGATTTCACTAAAAATCAGCACTTCAGTATTTCACTCTCACACGTGAAGAGACAACCAAGGAGCACCTGGCTGGCTCAGTTGGTGGAACGGGCAACACTTGATCTTGGGGTCATGAGTTCAAGCCCCACATTGGGTGTAGAGATTACTTAATGAGAGAGAGAGACAACCAAGACCAGAGCCTCTGCCATGAAATAAAAAAACCAAAGTAAACAAACAGAAAAAAGCAACTAGGGCAAAACGGACTCTACGGGGGAAAAGAAACTATCATTTATAGCCCATGAGAATTTTTTTTAAAGAAATAATGTCATGGGGGTGCCTGGGTGGCTCAGTGGTTTAAGCCCCTGCCTTCGGCTCAGGTCGTGATCTCGGGGTCTTTGGATCGAGTCCTGAATCGGGCTCTCTGCTCAGCGGGGAGCCTGCTTCCCTCTCTCTCTCTCTCTGCCTGCCTCTCTGCCTACTTGTGATCTCTCTCTGTCAAATAAATAAATAAAATCTTAAAAAAAAAAAAAGAAATGATGTCATAACCTCTAGATACTTGACAAAAGAAATGGGTTGGTGCAGGAAGAAAGAGCTCATGAAAATTTAAAACATGATAGAAGAAACAAAGATTCAAGACTCTGGTTGGAAGACAGAGTTGAGGAACTGCCTCAGAAAGAGATAGAATAGATAAGAAAATTAGAGAACTAGTCCAGGATAGCCAGTATCTGTTCAGTGAACATTCCAGAAATAGGGAACAGCAAAATAGAGGGGGAAGAAATGATCAATAAAATAAATTCGGGAACTGTCCCTTTACCAGAGGATGTGACTTTCCAGAGTGAAAGCACCCAGTGCCCCAGCACCGTATTTGGATACACATTGTCTCCAGGCCACAGCATCATAAAATTTCAGAGCATCAAGGACAAGGGAAAGATCCTCTCGGCTTCTAAGAAGGAAAAAAGAAAAGTCACATACAGTATTATCAGGACTCAGAATACCTTCAGACTGTTTTTCTATTATAAGCCTAGTAGCTAGATGGCAATTGAAACAAAGCCTCCTGGTTTCCAAAAGATGGATTTTTGTGCTAAAATTCTGTACCCTGATAAGTTCTGAATAAAATGTGTGAGTAGGAAAAGACATTTCAGACATGCAAGGCCTCAAAAAAAAAAAAATGTATCTCTCATATACCCTTTCTCAGAAATTACCAGAAGATGGGCTTTATGAGAATGAAAGAGTAAGTCAGGAAGGAGGAAGACCTGGGATTCCGGGAGCAAATAAACCAACCCAAGAAAGCAGTGAAAGAATCACCTAGATCACAGATTGGGAAATTTTCTCTGAAAAGGACAAACTTTTCCTGTAAAAAATAGTACCTTTTTTTTTTTTTTTTTTAAGTTTTTAGGCCATTCGGTCTCTGTCACAACTACTCAGTTCTGCTGCTGTGGTGCAAAAGCAGACAATACATAAATGAAAGAGCATGCTGTGGTCTAGTGAAACTTTCCTTAACAATAGATGGCTATCACTGCATGATGGGCATTAAGAAGGGCATGTGATGGAATGAGCATTGAGTGTTCTATGCAACTGATGAATCACTAGATTCTACCTCTAAAACTAATAATACACTATATGCTCCTTAGATTGAATTTAAGTTAAAAAGAGAAATAGGTGGCAGGCTGGATTTGACCCCTGGACCATAATTGGCTGACACCTGTAGATGATGGTGAAGAAAGCCCCTAGGGCACTGGTCCTACGGAGGTATAGAAGACAGTCCAGACTGTAGCAGGCCAGAAGGCTCTAAGAGAGATGTCTTTAAGAAAATGAAATGGTTAAAACAGTATGTGTCTGAATTTCTTAAGAAATGATTTAGACCAGCAGTTATAGAACTTTCTTTTTTTTTTTTTAAGATTTTATTTATTTATTTGACAGAGAGAGAGAGATCACAAGTAGGCAGAGAGGCAGGCAGAGAGAAAGGAGGAAGCAGGCTCCCTGCCGAGCAGAGAGCCCAATACGGGGCTCAATCCCAGGACCCTGGGATCATGACCTGAGCCGAAGGAGGAGGCTTTAACCCACTGAGCCACCCAGGCGCCCCAGTTATAGAACTTTCTAGTCCAGGATTTGTTACACTAAAAAAAGTCTTTGATGACCTCAGAATGCTTCTGTTCATGTGAATTACCACTGTTTACCTTATTAGAAATTAAAACCAATAAAAACTTTAAGCATTTACCTATTTAAATTAAGGTAATAATAATAAGCCCAATCCATTATGTTAACATAAATAACACTTTATGAAAAATAATTACATTTTCTAAAATTTAGAAGAGAAGCTGGCTTTATATTTTTGTAAATCTTTTTCACATCTGTACTAAAGACATTAAACCAGGTTCTCATATATGCTTCTATATTCAAACTGTTAGGATAAGTTATTTTGGTTGAATTACATTTGTGAAGAAAATCCAGCTTCAGACAGGTCGTTAGGAAAGAAAGGTGTATTTTAATCGCTTTTTCAGATAATTGTGGATATTTGTCCTTGTACTACACCAGAATTCGGCAGTTCCTTAAAAATTAGTTCCGTCTAGAATCCGAGACTGTATCTGCTACAGACTAAATTCTGTACCCCCAAAACTCGTATGTTAAAGCCCTGAGGCCCCCAATGTATATTTGGAGGTACAGCCTATAGGGAGATACTTAAGGTTAAATGAGTTCATAAGGGTGGGGCCTTGATCTTATAGAATTAATGTCTTTATAAGAAGAGACTTGTGAGGACACAGTGAGAAGGTGATGCCTGCAGGCCAGGAAGAGAGCTTCTCTCACCAGGAACCACACTGGCCTTCCCAGCCTCTGGAACTGTGAGAAATCAATGTCGTTTAAGCCTCCCTCACTAGGGTATGCTGTGAGGGCCACCCCCATAGATTAATACAATATCAGCTCAGGTTTTTTTTTTTAACTGGGTTATAGTAAAATCTGTTTTATACTTTAAATGGATCTTTTACCCATACAGTGATTTTTTTTTTATCATGTACTTAGAAAGTTTACATCATTTAGAAAACACTGGCTCATTATGCTGATCTCTTAAATGTGAACATATTTCATTAGATGATCTCAAAATATCACATTGGTTAGTGCCTCTGCTGATTTAGGTAAGATTTTAAGTATTAGGAAACACGCATTCATGTGTCGGATACAAGGTTTCCAAAATTCTAATTTTTGCAAAAGCTCAAATTTTATCATGGGCAATAAATAATGCAGTTGTTTTCCTCAAAGTGCTGAAGAACCACAGCTTGAGTGATATTTGTTCCTTAAGGTAAAATGGCGTTCTGTAAAAAAAAAAAAAAAAAAAGGCGATCAGTTTAGCTTACCACTCAAAGTTACAGAA